ACTCAACACAGCAAGAACACACCAAAAAAGGTATCCGTCTTTCACAGTCCCACGTGAACTGTCTGGTGATCTAAGATTCAGATCTACATCCAGAAACGTCTGAACTTTTATCTCCATTATTCGTGTTTTTCTCGTAGATTTCATGCAAAAGTATGTGTTCACTTTACATGAATAAGACAGTGGAGTAAAATGTATTTGGAAACTTGAATTCATGTGTGCTGAAATCATTTGAAAGCATGAAAAGGCTATGACATGAAGAAAAAACCCTAAACAGTGAGGAAAACACATTAAAAATAGTGGTAATCATGATAATCATTTAATATTCGAATCACAGGACCCTGAATTGAAAAGGAATTGTGAGGTAGCTAAGGCAGCACACCCCTACATTTTAGGCACATAATTGATTAAATCTGTGTTTGTAGAGGTGGTAGAGACCCACATAGCTGCACAAAGGAATGCAAAATGTGAGTTTTACTTCATATGTTATCTTGAAAATTGCATGAACATAAAATGAAATAAAGCAATGGATTCATATAAAAAGCTAAACATGTGTGGCACTTCAATTCACATGTGGCTAAAAACAAAAATAACATTGTCTTACCTTTGATAAAGTTGAAAGCAGCTCCAGGACTTCCTCCTTCATTGGCACTTCTGGGAAATTGAACCACTCCAGCAGATACACGAACAGCATCTTTTCTTGGACGATGTCATCAACAGAGATAAGAGACAGATCCAGCTTACATAAGATGCTTTTCAATGCTCGAACTCTAATCTCCACCAAAGAGTGACCTAAGCGATGAAGAAGAAAAAAACAAAAAAGGTTTATTAATATTTCTTTGAGCCAAGTTGGGGATAACTTGATGTCAGACTACAATAACTTGTACAGTAAAGTACTGGTTACAACAACATGACTTGCAGTTGTTAGCTAAAGTTGGCTAACTACAGCATAATTCACCTTAATGCAAGCCACAATAAAAGCTAGTGTTAGCTTGTGAACGAACAAGCGGGTGACAAGAGGTTCGGTTAGCTTAAGTTCGGGAAAATCCATCTTCCTTTAACCCGGCTAGCAGTTTAGCCTACCTATTTTCTTTATAAGCGGAGATAATTCCATGGCTGTCGCAATGCTGTAAAACGTCCTTTTTTAAAAACCGGCAAACAGAAAAGACTTGTAGACTTGTTGACTCATGTCAACAAACATCTCTGCCCGGGTCTGTTTTCAACAACCGCGCCAACGTCACGGCACTTCCGGTGGAGGTCTGCTCACGGTGCATTTAAGAACACCAACTGCGTCGGAAATTTTAGACACAAAGCACTTTCAAACTACAGATGTCAATAATATTATTGAAATTATGTCACTAACAACTTTCTAACTAAATTAATAGAACTACAGTGCAGAAATATCTCTAATACAGAGAGATTTAAATGGGTAATTTAAATCAGTCTGCAAAAGTCCAACTTTTGGACATGGACAACAAATTAGCTAATAGCCATTCCGCACTTCATGAATTGTAGTAATTTTACTGTACAAATAAAATTAAATTAAAGTTTGCAGTGAAGTGATTTTTACGTGCTGTTTAAAATGTCATACCTAAATACATTAACACTGTAATAATTTACACCCATTTTAGATCAAACTAGAAGTGATCAATTCATTTGTTTTTAGAAATATATATGCTCATATTATTTTTGATGCAGATAACGCATTTACAGTTAACATGATGATGTTCAGCTAAAAAAATGCTTCTTTTTGTGATGTGTTTGCATTTGTGTTTATCTTATTACTACAGTACATTGCTATAAGCTGTCCAATTTGCGTTATGAAACATGCAGAATGTGGTGTTACACTATTGAGAAACAATCTGTGTTGCAGCATATGTGAGTCTAAAACCCTTTATCTAACATTTTTTAATGGTGCCCTCATTCCCAGACATGTTAGTCATGTGCTCTAATACACCCTCATACAATCACATATGCTGGCTTCTAAACTGTATGCTGATATCTGATGGCCAGATGGTCTCTCTCTCTCTCTCTCTCTTTTTTTTTTTTTTTTTTTTTTTTTTTACACGGAAGACACTCTTTTGATGAATTATATAAATGGAAACTGTGTTCCCTCACCCGGACGTGGGTCACAGAGGCCCCCCTCTGGAGCCAGGCCTGGAGGTGGGGCACGTTGGCAAGCGTCTGGTGGCCGGGCTTTCACCCATGGAACCTGGCCGGGCACAGCCCGAAGAAGAAATGTGGGTCCCCCTTTCCATTGGCTCACCACTCGTGGGAGGGGCCAAAGGGGTCGGGTGCAGTGTGTGACGGGTGGTAGTCGAGGGCGGGGACCTTGGCGGTCTGGTCCTCTGCCACAGAAGCTGGCTCTTAGCACATGGAATGTCACCTCTCTGGTGGGTAAGGAACCTGAGTTAGTGTGTGAGGTTGAGAGGTTCCGACTAGATATAGTCTGACTCACCTCAACGCATGGCTCTGGCTCTGGAACCAGTTTCCTTGAGAAGGGTTGGACTCTGGAGTTGCTCCCACTGAGAGGCACAGAACAGGGGTGGGCATACTATTGCCCCCCATCTTGGTGCCTGTACGTTGGGGTTTACCCCAGTGAATGAGAGGGTAGCCTCCTTCCGCCTACATGTGGGGGATCGGGTTCTGACTGTGGTCTGTGCTTATACACCAAACTACAGTTCAGACTACCCACCCTTATTGGAGACCTTGGAGGGGGTGCTGGAAAGTGCTCCTTCCGGTGACTCCCTCGTTCTGCTGGGGGACTTTAACACTCACGTGGGCAACAACAGTGAGACCTGGAGAGGTGTGGTTGGGAGGAACGGCCCGCCTGATCTGAATTTGCGTGGTGTTTTGTTATTGGACTTCTGTGCTAGTCATGGATTGTCCATAATGAACACCATGTTCAGACATAAAGGTGTCCATATGTGCTCTTGGCACCAGGATACCTTAGGCTGCAGCTCGATGATCGACTTTGTTGTTGTTTCGTCTGACCTGCGGCCGCATGTCTTGGACACTCGGGTGAGGAGAGGGGCGGAGCTGTCAACTGACCACTACTTGGTGGTGAGTTGGCTCAGATGGTGGGGGAGGATGCCGGTCAGACCAGGCAGGCCCAAACGTATCGCGAGGGTCTGCTGGGAATGTCTTGCAGAGTCTCCTGTCAGAAGGAGTTTCAATTCCCACCTCCGGCAGAACTTCCAAAATTGCTCCGGGGGAGGCTGGGGACATTGAGTCTGAATGGACCCTGTTCCATGCCTCCATTGTTGAGGCGGCCGACCGGAGCTGTGGTCGCAGGATCGTCGTTGCCTGTAGTGGTGGCAACCCCCAAACCCGCTGGTGGACACCGGCGGTTAGGGATGCTGTCAAGCTGAAGAAAGAGTTCTATCAGGTTTTTTTAGCCTGTGGGACTCCAGAGGCAGCTGACGGGTACCGGCAGTCCAAGCGGAACGCGACTCGGGTGGTCGCCGAGACAAAAAAACGGGCATGGGAGAAGTTCGGTGAGACCATGGAGCAAGACATCCGTATGGCTTCGAGGAGATTCTGGTCCCATCCGGCAACTCAGGGGGAAAGCAGTGCGCTACCAACACTATCTATAGTGGGAACGGTGTGCTGGTGACCTCTACTCAGGACGTTGTGGATTGGTGGGCAGAATACTTCGAAGACCTCCTCATTCCCACCGACACGTCTTCCAGTGAGGAAGCAGAGTCTGGGGACTTTGGGTTGGCCTCTCAAATCTTTGGTGCTGAGGTCACTGAGGTGGTTAAAAAGCTCCTCTGTGGCAAGGCTCCAGGGGTGGATGAGATCTGCCCGGAGTTCCTTAAGGCTCTGGATGTTGTGGGGCTGTGTTGGCTGACGCGGCTCTGCAATATTGCGTGGACATCGGGGGCAGTCCCACTGGACTGGCAGACCGGGGTGGTGGTCCCCTTATTTAAAAAGGGTGTGTTCCAACTACAGGGAGATCGCACTCCTGAGCCTTCCTGGTAAGGCCTATTCAGGGGTTCTGGAGAGGAGGTTCCGTCGAATTGTTGAACCTCAGATTCAGGAGGAGCAATGTGGTTTTCGTCCTGGCCGTGGAACACTGGACCAGCTCTATACCCTTATTAGGGGGATCCTGGAGGGTGCGTGGGAATTTGCCCAACCAGTCTAAATGTGTTTTGTGGATTTGGAGAAGGCGTTTGACCGCGTCCCTGTGGGGGGTACTCCAAGAGTATGGGGTACCAGGCCCTCTGATACAGGCTGTTAGGTCCCTGTATGACCGGTGTCAGAGCTTGGTCCGCATTGCCGGCAGTAAGTCGGCCTCGTTCCCAGTGAGAGTTGGACTCTGCCAAGGCTGCCCTTTGTCACCGATTCTGTTCATAACCTTTATGGACAGGATTTCTAGGCGCAGCCAAGGTGTGGAGGGCATCCGTTTTGGTGGCCTTAGGATCAGGTCTCTGCTTTTTGCAGATGATGTGGTCCTGTTGGCTTCATCAGAACGTGATCTTCAGCTTTCGCTGGAGCGTTTCACAACCGAGTGTGAAGCAGCTGGGATGAGAACCAGCTCCTCTAAATCTGAGACCATGGTCTTGATTCGGAAAAGGGTAGGATGCCTTCTCCAGGTCAGGGATGAGGTCCTGCCCCAAGTGGAGGAGTTTAAGTATCTCAGGGTCTTGTTCACGAGTGAGGGAAAACTGGAGCGTGAGATCGATAGGCGTATTGGTGCTGCATTTGCAGTGATGCGGGCGTTGCACCGGTCTGTCGTGGTGAAGAGAGAGCTGAGTTAGAAGGTGAAGCTCTCGATTTACCGGTCGATCTACGTTCCTACCCTCAATTATTGTTATGAGCTTTGGGTAGTGACCGAAAGAACGAGGTCGCAGATGCAAGCGGCCAAAATGAGTTTTCTCCGATGAGTGGCTGGGCTCACCCTTAGAGATATGGTGAGAAGCTCGGTCATTTGGGAGGGGCTCGGAGTAGACCCGCTGCTCCTCCACATCGAGAGTAGCCAGTTGAGGTGGCTCGGGCATCTGGTCAGGATAACTCCTGGACGCCTCCCTGGTGAGGTTTTCTGGGCACATCCAACCGGGAGGAGACCTGAAGGTAGACCCAGGACACAGTGGAGGGACTATGTCTCTCACCTGGCCAGGGAACCCCTTAGGATTCCCCCAGAGGAACTGGCCCAAGTGGCTGGGGAGAGGGAAGTCTGGGCCTCTCGCCTTAGGCTACTGCCCCCGTGACCCGACTCCGGATAAGTGGATGAAAATGGATGGATGGATGGATGGATGCAAGACACATCACTCATGATTTTCACAAAGACTTCTTTATCCAACCATTGGACAATTTTAAACTTCACCTCACTTCAACTGACAAAGTGCATCGGGCCTGGAAAACATGGCTGCATGATGGAGTTTCAAACCACATTTATAAATTCAAAAAAGGAACAATTGTCTTAGTCAAATAGCTTAAAATGTAATAAAAAATTTTGCCATCAGAAAATGTTATGGGTTACTCCTCCTGATTGTTGTAATGCGTGTTTTTCTTTCTCTGTGTAGGTTGGCTGTGGCTCTTCCTGCTGTTCCTGCCCCTCTTTGGAGCATCGGGGAATGCCGCAGCTGACTGCAATTTCCTGATTGCCACACCATGTATTTAAGCAGCTGCTTCCTGTGCATGGTGTGGCGTTGTTGTGAAGAGTTTCTGGTGTTTAGAGCATAGCTTTGTTTCGAGTCTGTGGTAGTTTTGTTTTGTATTACCCGTGAAGTCCTTTTCCCACTTATGTGGTGACTTTTTGTTATTAAAAGTAATCAGTATCGGATCTGGTCATCCGTCTCCTGTGGAACCCATGCAGCTGGGAGTGGGACGGCTCCCTGCATCTGAACGACAGAGACGGATGAGGGAGGGGCTGTGTCTGTACTGTGCTCGTCCCGGTCACCAGGTGCGTCACTGTCCGGGAAACGGGGGGGCTCACTAGCGGGGGGGCACCTAGTGAGTCGGTTTTCATCTTCCTCCCCACCCTCTCGACCCCCTGTCAATGTGCTGGTGACCTATGGCCAGATGCAGAATGCTTATGAGACTTTGATTGACTCTGGTTCAGATGGTGATCTGATATCCCAGGAAGTGGTAAGCGCACTTTTTATTCCAGTAATACCCTTATCCCCTGCCTTGCTCATCCGTGCCATAAACGGTTCCATCATCCACAGAGTAACAGCACGCACGGTTCCTATTAAGGTAACTGTTTCTGGAAACCATTCTGAACTTATGGATTT